GGGAGCATTGGTGGAGTACAGTGGTGGGGGTGCAGTGATGGGGGTAGCAGTGGAGCTGCAGTGGTGGGGTGCAGTGGCAGGGGTGCAGTGATGGGGTGCAGTGGTGGGGTGCAGGGATCAGGTGCAGTGGTGGGGTACAGTGGTGGGGCACAGTGCTGGGGTGCAGTGGTGGGATGCAGTGGTGGGGGTGCAGTGGTGGGGTGCAGGGATCAGGTGCAGTGGTGGGGTACAGTGGTGGGGCACAGTGATGGGGTGCAGTGGTGGGATGCAGTGGTGGGGGTTCAGTGGTGGGGTGCAGTGATGGAGGTAGTGGTGGGGGTGCAGTGGTGGATGTAGTGATGGAGTGCAGTAGTGGGGTGCAGTGGTGGGAGTGCAGTGGTAGGGTATAGTGATGGGATAATGGTGGAGGTGCAGTGATGGGGTGCAGTGGTGGGATGCAATGGTGGGGTGCAGTGGTGGGGTATAGTGATGGGGTGCTGCAATGGGGTGTAGTGATGGGGTGCAGTGGTGGGATGCAGTGTGGGGGTGCAGTGATGGGGCACAGTGATGGTGCACAGAGATGGGGTGCAGTGGTAGAGTGCAGTGATGGGGTGCAGTGGTGGGGGTAGTGGTGGGGGTGCAGTGATGGGGTGCAGTGGTGGGGGTAGCAGTGGGGTTGCAGTGAGGCATTAGTTTGGAATCATAGAATGGAGTCAGATGAGAAAAAATTTGAAGGTCAAGTTAAAGTGTTTGGGTTTAATATGAATATGTGAGAGGTTTGAAGGAACAGGTTATGAGATGGAAGCTTTAAGGCTTCCTAGCTGTGGATCCATATGTGGTGTATGGGGCATTGCCTAGTGACCTGATTCCAGCACCAGAGCACCACTCCTTTGTTTTGTCCACCTACAGGCTGGTTTCCACCCTGAGGCAGCTGCCATTGCTCTCGTACCTTCAAGGTTCCTTTAGCCTCTCTTTATGAGGATCCCAAAGTGGGCTTTGATCTTTACCACCTATCAGCAGAGGTAGATGGACCTATGTTTTAAGCCAAGCTGCTTAAAGAACAAGCCCTTAGCCCTCATCTTGGTTTTCTCCCTCAGGGTTTCAGCAGAGCAATCTGGGAGAACAGGGAGAGCCTATCAAAGGTCTGTGTCTCCCAGGGGCCATCCAGGCTACTGACCTGTGCTACTGTTGGGGACATCAAGGTCCAAGGTGGTTATTCAGCTTTCTAGAAGATTAAGTAATTTTTCATGGCCCAAGAACTGCAGAAGCTGGCCCATCCTCCCAGATCTTTCTATTGCCTCTCCTTTCTTACTCCCTCCTCCCCAAATTGCAAAGCCTGCAGCTCAAGGGCAGGAAACCTGAGCTCTAGTCCCAGCTGCTGCTTCTCAGCTTTGTGATATTGGACCAGCAATCCCATCTTGCAAAATCTCAGTTTCCTCATCTACAAAATGAGACTAATCACATTAAATTAGGTAACAGATGCAAAGAAAGCATTTAGCCCAGGGTCTGGTACCTATAAGGCATTCTGTAAATGAAGGCTAGTGGCATTGATTCCTGACATTATCAGTATTCCTCACAGAGTAGGTCCTGTGCATTAGGGGATGCCTGCGACAGAGGCGGTACCTAGAGAGAACAGCAAATAGAAGGCGTTTCATTAGGAAACCATTTCCTCTATAGTTCTCTTTGCATTCTGATTTTGTGGAAGAGACAGACTCAGTTTGGTGGTATTATAGCATGTTATATATACATACACACACACATATATATACACACACACACATATGTATGTATATATATATAATGCTTGTTAATTTCCATTTTTAGCATGGAGAATTCTTCGCCCCTCTGGTTAATGATAGATAATTACATCTAACTCAGTCTGGTAAAGTCCTATTCAGTAACTTAAACAGTCTCTTTAGATAGCATAATCACTTCAAATAAATCCATAGCCTCTCAGATTTGCTCCCCACCCCACCCACACTCCTTGCCAAGATGGTGTCAGGCTGTGTAAGTCAAGGGATGCTAATAGGACCACATGAGTGAGAGGGCAGAGGGAGCTTGGACCCACTTGCAGAAGTCCTTGCGTTGTTGTGGTCTCCACAGAAACGTCCCGCTGCCGGGCTTCCTGGGAGGAGGATGAATTCTCACGTGGTGAACTCATGGTCTGTCCTCTCGTCTTGATCAAAGCCCACTGACCCTCCCTGGCTGGCTCAGTGCCCCACCTCACCATGCACAGTGCTCAGCACTGTGCTGCAGCACAGGCCAGGCTGTGGTTTCACTCTGTTCTCGAGTCCATGAAGCGCATCTGTAGCCCCCTGCCCTCCTCCTCCTCCTCTAGCTCCCAGCCAGGTTGGTAGTCACCTCTGAGTTTTCTTCAAAGCCATACGGTGATGTCTGGATCCATTTCAAGGAATTGGGGATCCAAGGGAAGTGGGAGCACTCTCTGAGATCTCTCTTGGCCCAACCACTTCTGCTCTGCTGTGGCTGCCCCAGGTTGGTTGAGATGTGGAACCCGTCTGTCAGTATCCTCCTGGAGAACCCTTCACTGCTTAGCACACATTTCAAGTTGGCACACATTTCAGCCCCTCACTGCACCCCATCACTTTACCCCATTGCTGTACCC